AGGAATGATTTTACTTGATGAAATTTAAATGAGTCCTTTTTAACACTGTCCCTTAGTTCAAAAGTGGCCTAAGACAACACATCTGACCTGTAGTGCTCCTTAACTTTCATGGCTTCTCAGTCACATCGTCCTGACAGTTCAAAATTCTGTTAGGAATAGTATTTGGAAGGACTTGACACAGTAGTTTCTGCACAATATTAGTGTTAATATTAAATGTTTCTGCACAATATTAGTGTTAATATTAAAAATAGCTTTTTAAAAAATCTGTATCTATTTTGTTAACAGTTACACATCTGAGTGAAATGCTACTGAAGCTGTTTTCCCTTTAATACCTGCCAAATCACTGTAATACTCTTGTTTCTGACCATGTATCTCCACCTGCAAAAAACACCTTGGTTTCTGTAGTTGTACCACTTCTCTAAGACAAACAGCAAAGAAAGTAGAGAGACTGCTGTCTGGGTTATCCACTCAGCATATTACATGAATTCTATTCTAAAACGTGGGGAGTTTCCTGGAAACAGAGTACCTTGAGTGGCTGTAGTAACATCCATTTCTCAGAAGCTACATCAGATCTAAGCTGATGACAGCTTGAAAAATGGGAAAAGGTTTCTTCTTCCAAGAGGAAAAAAAAAAAAGTATTTGCAGTAGCTACGGATGGTTTTAAATAAATAACTCTGTATTACTATAGTTACAGAAGTTAAAACAAAACAATCTCAGAAGTTATCTTTTCAAAAGCACCTAGCTAATTCCACTTTTATGTATACACGTCAAGAGACACTCACCTTCTAAGCATTCCTTCTTGTTGTCTAGCTTCTCATGAGCTTTTGCGCGTCTGAAGAGAGCTTTTACGTATTTAGGATTAAGCTCAACAGCCTTTGTGCAATCTTGTGCCACTTCTGTCCATCTTTGCTGTGGGCAGAAAACACCACAATGAGAAAGGCCCTACTGCTTTCTCAGTAAGAAACTGCCAGGCATCACTGGAAGCCATTTGCACCAGAAGGGCCACAAAACAGAAAGGAATTCCAACAGAAAACTGGAACCAGACAGTTGTACAAAAGCATATGGGAGAAGATAATGAGCTGAAGCAAAGATGCTTGCAGGAGGTAACATTGGGACTGAAAGACTGGTTCAAAACAAATAGAAGAAAAAAGATGAAAACATAGTGAAAACCAAAAAACAAGTATAACGAAGTGCTAAAACATTTTTTTTTCATTTGTTATCTTAATTCACTATGCTACAAAGGGATGATGAATATGTAGGAGTAGAGCTGGTCAAGGGTACTGACAACAAAAACTCAATTTATCTGCAAAACTGATCAGCAAAACAGCCTTTTCTAATAAAAAGAGGAACCACAAACAATTAGTGACATCATGAATTCCAGATAAGTGTTACAAGTAGTATCTCATCAGACAAGAACTGCTTTATCTCCCCTCTAACTTTCAAGACTAGATTACTCTAATTACACTTGATACTTCAGACTTTACAAAGCCAATTTTTCCACTCCTTTATACAGCTCACCAACTTGACCTCATAAACAAATCTGGTTGACTTCTAAAACTAGTATCAAGTATACTCAGCTATCAAGTAAATGTTATTCCACATGTGCAAAATTTAGGTCTTGGGCTTTTGTAGGATTTCTGTGATTTTTCTTTTAACTTTTGAAGTAGCATCTTTACAAAATATTTGGCCTTTCACCCAACAGGTAAAGACAGACTCTACTAGAGAGAAGCAAACTTAACTTATATACAAGAAAACTGTTACAGAGGATAAGAAATTAAATCCTTGTCTGAAAAGGACCTATAAAAATTATATAACATAGACTGAGAATAGTTAAGAGAAATAATTTTATTTATATGTGGAAAAGTATGGTAAGCTAGTGAAAAACAGCCACAAGCAACGGCATCTTGTTGTGAAGGCGGCAGACACCACCTGGTATCTTTCAGTGGACAAAAGTGACAAAATACACAATTTATGATGCAATTTTTTTAGAATAAACACGTAACTATCTTTAATTTCTTACCAGTTGTTCATAGGCAGCAGCTCTATTTTGATAGAAGGTAGAAAGATCAAGGTTTTTCTCAGGAGGGCACAGACTGATAGCCTCAGTATAACACTGAATAGCTTGCTCATATTTTCCTGCTTTAAAGTATTTGTTTCCTGTGTTCTTGGCTGCTTGGGCTCTGTCAAGGGGGCTCTGAAAGAGAAAGTGATTGATCAGTTCCAGTAAGAAAAGCATCACCATATCCAGGCTGTGTACTTAAGGGCTGATCTTCAAAGATATAAAATAGATCAGAGTGGTGAACTCTAGCCTAGACTTCTGAAAATCTCCTCTCTTCTATTTCCTGGAAAAGCACAACAGATTTTATTTGGCAAGTGTATCAGAAGACAAACTTTTCAAAAGATTCACTACAGTGATATTGAACAACGCAGTGATTTCTCTTTGGAAAGCTAAGCATGTTTTAATCTCAAGCGACTGATGATCAGAAGAACCAATGAGATAATTTAAGCCCTCAAAGCAATTCAAATACAGAAAGTTTCAAGCCAAAACACACACAGCCTATAAGGCCAGAGCTGACTCAATAGACTATGATTTAAATATAGAAAATACTTTATGGAAAGATCTTTCAGGGAAAATTAATAAAACTTGCAGGGAAAACAAAGCTGGTTTGTCTTCCGTACACCAGACAAATTCACTAACTTGACAGCCAACTCCTCTACGACTTCACACAACCTGCCTCACCCAACCACTATTACAAAGTGTTGGCCCATCACAGTCTGCCATTCCCAGCACAGGATGGAAAACTTTGCCAGCTGGTCTGTGGCCTTACTAAATGAAGCTTTACATTCTGCACTGCCTGTTGACCATCAGCATTGCCACAGAAACCAGCACTGCTACCTGTAACCCCTAGATTTACAAATCAGTTATCAAATGTTGTGGTTTATAAGGAATCAGATGTAAAAAGCCTCTCTTTACCATAGGGATATGACTCACATTCAAGAAAGAGAGAGCTGCAAAACATGTTAACATTAATCTTTTGGATTTCTGCTCCTCTTTCACAGGATCAGTATTTGGGGATCAACATTTTGGGACAGCTCAGGCTAATCTACCAGGCTGAAATTAAGAGAGGTATGAGCACACATGCCATCCTACCAACCTCTCTGAGGAGGTAATGCCTTGAACAACAGCTGCAGGATTCAACACGTGAAGTCTGTTGAATCACACACAGTGAAAAGATAATCTAGGATTTGCTTCAATGGTAAATGCTGCTCTCTGATCACACTTCTGCCTCCTCTCCCCGCCCCATCCACCAACAGCATTGAAATACACCCCCAAATGCTGTAAGACAAACTTCAAAGCATCTTTACATTTCATCAGCCTGTTTCCCTTGATGTCTGCTCATTTCATGCCAGTCTGATAATTTTTAGCATCTAAATAATTTAAAAAACTGAAAATGTGAAGGGAACCCAGGAGTTGCTGTACAATGCCTCTTCTAAGGCCTGGTTTCCAATCATGCCATGAGAGAATGAGTGCCAGCCTTAGTTACTACATTAAAAAAATAGGCATCCAAATAGAATAGAAATATCCTACGGGCACTCTCCTGAGGAGAGACTTACCAGTGCAACCACACAAGAGAGAAAGTTTCTCAAATATCCCTACTGCCAGAAAAGCTCTTCTCTCACAGTCCACCAATTGCTGGGCTTATAGGAAATCACTCTGCACCATTGCCATTGTTCACAGAACAAGATAATCTGCACGGCTTTTAGATTTTTGTTCTATTACAATTTAAATCCAAATTGTTAAACCATCATTAACTTCATCCCTTTTTGTACACTGTGCGGAACTCTATGGATACACAAACCAGAATTAGAGTGCAAATATTTCTACTGAGAGCCAAGTAACTGTGTATTTGATAAGTCGGTTTTTTTTAAACTCAACTCAAGCCTGACAAAGTTACATTTACTTCAAGTATGCCCCATCTCTTTTAACTAAGGGAAGGGTTATACATATGCAGCAGACAAACTTAAAGGCACAGATGTCAGCTTGAATTTTTCCTTCTATATTTCTAGAGAAATATCGTTGTGAAATAATCTACAAAATTCAGAGCTGTTCCAATTAACCTGGTACCAAAAGGAAAAACACAACGTGTGGGCTACGTTGTAACATTCAGACCTGTGTTCCCAGTATGAAAACTATTTAAAGCTGCAGAGATTAAGCCTACATTTCAACTAGATAACTACTTTATGACCACTGCCAACTCCTTTAGCCCAGGGGTCCATTACCCCAGTAGGCACCTCAGGCTGCCCTGCCCATCTGCTTCATCCTATGCACTTTGACAGCCCTTCAGTCCACAGTCCCTGCACAAAAACAAACGCTACAGGTGGGGACTGCAATGGCTGCTGCAGTGTCAGGTGTGGGATAGGAATTGTAGCTGGAAGGAAGAAATGTGCAGTTCTGGGGCTGACACTGGTGCTCTGCTGGCTCTTGGGAAGCATGAAGTCTTCAGAAAAGCTTAAGCAGGGACCAAAAACTTTAGAGTATGGGCATGATGCCACAGGAAAACCCATTAAAATCAGTAACTTTTAACAGAATAAGCTTTGAATAACAGTAGTAGGACCACTGACCACACAATCAACTATGCAGCAATGAATCATCAAATAGATGCTAACTCCAAGGTTACTCTCTGCTGCATGCATTGCATGATGCAAGAAATTTGGGGATGAGTCAGGAGTTACAGCATAAGATGCTAACACGCAATAAAGTCAGCAGTAATGCCCATGGCAAGAAAAATCAACTTTGTTGTTGTTTGTTTATGCTGCCTTAAAGTAGGCTTCTAGTTCTTAGATGGTTATCTCTACAACCTTAGTCACACTATTCTGCTACAATCTTCAATCTGCACATAATACACCATTGAATTGCACTGGCTGACAATTTAATGCAAAGGCTGATAGATGATACAGCTCTTTATCATCAATAAACCAAGTCCGACAAAGACTTAAATGAAAAAATAAAGTTGTTTAGAATCTCATACCCATGAAAAATAAATCCCACATAGCTTGTATGTTATGGTTTAAGGGTTAAGAGCCTGAAAGAGAAGGACAGGTGTCAGCAGTAAGACCTTCAGGAGTTGGAGAGTGGTATTGTTCCTTCCCCTTTCTGGCCACAGTCTAAAAAAACCAAGGAGGCCAGAAGTTTTAGGGGGCTTTTCCTTCCTTCCTGGGCTGCCTCATGATGGCTGGGCCTACCTCCACGTGCTCGGCAGCATTCACCACCGTCTGCTCCTGGCACCACTGCAGTCCCTGGTGACGAGTCACAGCAGCCACGAGGCACTGCTCGGACACTTCCACTCGGAACTACTGGAATCGGGTTTTGTATATAGTTAAATATCCTTTGTCCCTTATTAATTCCCTTTTCCTTTCAACTGTTGTTTTCATTAAACTTGTTATTGTCTTAACTTCCAACCTTGTGTGAAGCAACTCTTCTCTATTCCTTTTTTATCCTCCCCCGGAAGGGTGGGGGACAATAGAGAGAAAATCCTGCTCCCTGCTTCATTTGGGTTTGCCCTGAGCCCTAAAAGGACACACTGCACAGAAACTGTGCATTAAAAATAACAAAATGTTGTATCCATGTCTTGAAGCCCAAATGCTGATAAAATACAATGCCAAGTTTTAAACTTAACTTTTTTTCTAAATAATGATCCTGATGACATTTATTTTTTTAGCAGCCATGAAACTCTTCTGATCACAGAAAACACAGCAGAAAAGAGTGGATTAATTTACAGCTTTGGTATATAACTAACTTACATAACAAAAAATCCAAAAAAGTTTTTATTTTAATACTGTGACATTTTAAAGAATACTCATAACCCTTTTTTTACATATTCAACTTAACTAACTGCAGTATAATCTGATGAAGACAAAAACACAAAAAAGCTAAATCTCACAATTCTCATCTGTTACTTTGGTAAGTTTTTGTTGTCAGGGGTTTTCTGTTGTTGCAGATTCTTTTTGTGGTTGGTGGGTTGTTTTTTTAAAGATACTAAAGAACTTGTATCACATTATATGCTGCAATGTCTTTTCATAATAGCACAAATAAGAAACAAGAAAATTAATTCTTAACGTAAGATGAATTTTTGAAAGACTTTGTCAAGCCTACATTCAACCCTGATGAAATTTTTAAGCTGCTGCTTCTTAGCCTCCCAGTTCTTCCTAATCGTTACATTGAAGATGCACACAAATACAAGACTGATTATGCAAACAAACTTCACATACCTCATGCACAAGTAACCAAAAAACCTCACACCTTCTTCCATTTTCTTGCAAATCTAATAATTCTAGACATTATTTTCCAATTTTGCTGCTGCTTCTCACCTCACCCACTGCCATTCACTGGACATTTCTGTCCCTAAGGTGAAGGTCCACTCAGAGCAAGAAAACCTCTTGCAGTTTGTCATCTTCTGGTCCAAGAATCTGTGCAACAAGCAAACCAGCTCAATGAATGGAGGTTCATAATCAATTGCCTGCCAAGGTAGTATAATCAAATAGCTCAGAAGTTATCTGCAGTTCAATAAAAAATAACATATCAATACTTCGGACAGCTTTCAGCAAGTGTTCATTAGCAAGTCTTAAAATAGAGGTTAGGCCAAAGGACGCTTGTGTATTCGAGAAGCACTCAGTTATCTAGGTAACAAAACAAGCAGATCACTGTTTAAAGCCTAGACAGCACTGAAAAAAGTTCTTAACTGTTACTTTAACTTCTGCAAATGTGCTTTCTTCACAAAATGTTCAGGGGCTTCATGCAAACAGCAGCAGCTTAACAGCAACAGACTGCCAGCTGCAAGAATAATAAAGCTTAGTAACCCCCAGCATTGCCAATATGGTTAAGCTAGCAGTTCAGAACTTTATATATTTGAGGAAGACTGTTTTTTAAAAGTAGAACAACAAAAATTGCTGCCAGTCAATGATGACAGTGATTCACAACAGACGCATGAGCAGCAAGTTTCAGCATTTTCTTTTGGTTGAAAATGATTTGCATGAGCCCTTATCTGACAGATGACATGGAGGGGAACTACTGTTTCAGTCATCTTAAATTCATCAACCTGCAAAAACCCCCTGGTGTAGACCTCTTCTTTCTTCTCCATATGAAAGGACTCTTGATAAGGCACCAAAAAAAGTGGTGCTTTCTAAATGGCTGCT